TCCGGTTTCCTCAAGGACTTATGTTAAAGTGAGGGAATCATTCACGAAGTATCGGCCCCGTATACTCCGCAGCAAAATGGTGTGGCCGAGAGGAAAAATAGGACCTTGAAGGAAATGATGAATGCAATGCTCCTAAGTTCCGGGTTGCCAGACAATTTGTGGGGTGAAGCGGTTCTATCAGCTAATTATGTACAGAACAGAGTAACTCACAAGAAGTTAGACAAGACTCCATATGAAATATGGAAGGGTTATGCTCTAAACTTGAATCACATGAAAGTGTGGGGGTGTCTAGCTAAGGTGGGCTATCCATCGTTCAAGCGCTCAACTATAGGTTCTAGGACCTATGATACAGTATTCATTGGCTACGCTGAGAATAGTGCCGCATACAGGTTTATGAGTCTGGAAGATCGCTCTATATCTGAATCTCGTGATGCAGAGTTCTTTGAACAGGTATTTCCTTTGAAGAAAATATTAGTTTCTAACGATGTTTCTTCATCTGCAGAGCCAGAAAATACTTCCCCTAGGATTGAAAGTGAGATTCAACCTAGGAGAAGTAAAAGGCAAAGAGTGGAGACAAGCTTTGGACCTGATTTCCTAACAGATGAAGATCCGAAATCGTTTGAAGAAGCTATGGGTTCAGTAGATGCAACATTCTGGAAGGAAGCTGTAAATAGTGAGCTTGACTCAATCATGTCAAATGGAACCTGGGAGCTTGTGGACCTGCCAAAAGGGAGCAGAGCTATTGGGTGCAAGTGGATTTTCAAGAGAAAGATGAGAACCGACGGCACCGTGGAAAGGTTCAAAGTTAGATTGGTGATAAGAGGATTCACTCAAAAATTTGGCCTTGATTATTTTTATACTTATTCTCCGGTGACTAAAGTTGCTACTATTCGTGTTTTGTTTGCCTTAGCATCATCTTACAACTTGATTGTGCATCAAATGGATGTTAAGACAGCTTTCCTGAATGGCGATTTGGAGGAGGGGATCTACATGGAGCAACCTCCGGGTTTTGTAGTTCCTGGGATGGAGAATAAGGTGTGCAGACTAAAAAAATCCTTGTATGGCTTGAAACAAGCTCCGAAGCAATGGTATGAAAAATTTCATAAAACTATTCTTAGTTTTGGTTTTGTTGTCAATGGTAGTGATGCATGTGTGTACTCTAAGATGTTTGGTGCGCAATGTGTGATATTATGCCTGTATGTTGACGACATGCTCCTGTTTGGCACAAACATGTATGTCATAAATGAAACTAAGAAATATTTAAATTCAAAGTTTGAGATGAAGGATTTGGGAGAGGTAAATGTGATCCTTGGTGTTAAAGTTACTAAAACCAAGAAAGGGTATTTTCTGTCTCAGTCTCATTATGTGGAGAAAATTCTGAAGAACTTTAATTGTTTTTTATTTGCCTCCATTTAGAACTCCTTTTGATCCTTCTGGAACTTTGGAGAAAAATGTGGGGGACGGTGTGTCTCAAACTGAATATGCTAAGGTGCTTGGTAGTCTGATGTTTTTGATGAATTGCACTCGCCCTGATATTGCTTTTGCTGTTAGTAGACTTAGTCGCTATACTCATTGTCCTAGTGAGCAACATTGGGTTGCTTTGAGGCGTGTGCTCAGATATCTATGTGGAACCATGTCTTGGGGATTGAATTTTGTTGGTCATCCTTTGGTTCTTGAAGGGTATTGTGATGCAAATTGGGTAACGGATAGTGATGAAACAAGCTCTACAAGTGGCTATGTGTTTACTCTTAGTGGGGGTGCAGTTTCATGCAAGTCTGGTAAGCAGACGTGCATAGCTAGATTAACTATGGAAGCAGAGTTCATCGCATTGGATCTTGCTACACAAGAGGCAGGTTGGTTGAGAAATTTGCTTATTGATATTCCTTTGTGGGGGAATCCGTCACCACCTGTCTCTATGCATTGTGATTCACAAGCCGCTATATGTGTTGCTAAAAATAGCGTTTACAACGGTAAGAAAAGGCACATAAGAGTCAGACACGAGTCTGTGAGGCAGTTTATTGTGAATGGGGTTATTTCGTTGGACTATGTTCGAACAGAGAAAAACCTCGCAGGCCCTTTTACTAAGGGATTGAGTCGTAGACTAGTGGTGGAGTCATCAACTGGTATAGGTTTAGGACCTTTGTTGTAATGACTTGGAATGGTAGTTATTCTAGCTATGTGACATGATACATTGGTTTTAATAAATCCGGAACCTGTTTTGGTTATTTTGTTTCATTGGAATGAATCATGTGGATTTGTTATATGTGTATCATGTGTTTGAATATATTACTCTATAAGAGTGGTAAGTTTTACCAGTTAGATTCTGCTAGGATGTGTTTATCTCTTAATTTCATTAGTCTAGTTATTTTCTGAGCAGGGGTAGATGGAGGTTCTTAAGAGAGTTAAGGCCTTTGTCCCAGTAGCTCTTAAAACAGGATAAATAATGACACCGAAAGTTGAAGGGTTGAACTTATGTTCTTAATGTTCTAGTTCCATTGCATGTAATTCTTTGGTTTGCAAGGTGCTTAAACATGTTTAAGCCTGCAGGGAAAGACCTTTGAATTTGCTGGGAACGTGTGTGAGTAACACATAGGATGAACACCTACGTGAGTACGAGAGGTGGCCTCTCTCAAGGGAAGACTGGAGTATTGTTTTCCTGAAGTACTCATTAGAGCCCAAGTGTTGGCCAAGATTGACGGAGTTGCTTAAGCTCTAAAGTCAAGGTATGTGCCTTCAAGGTCCCTTCCTCGCTCCTAGGAGTTCAAATCTTAGGATACTCACTAGGGAAGTGTTGAAAACCTTGTGCACTAATGTGTTAGTTCAAACCTTTGGATAATAGCATTTAAGTACTAAGACTTTCATTTACTGTTCAGATTTCATGTTGAAGATCCGCTCGCATTAGTGGGGGATTGTTGGAAATAGGTAATGCAAACGGATGACTCGCGTCCGATCGGGCGGCTCTCGCCCGATCAGGCGGAGGTGGTCAAGGAAAAATAGGGAACTCTCGCGCCCGATCGGGCGGGCTTCGCCCGACCGGGCAACGGACCAGAGTTTTTCTACAAGAACCCTCGCGCCCAATTAGGCGGGCTTCGCCCGAACAAGCGGCGGACTCGAGTTTTTGACGAGCCCGATAGGGCGGCTTCGCCCGATGGCTCGCCCGGGATAGGGATTTCAGATCGCCCGACCGGGCGCGACACTACGTCTGGAAAAGCTTGATCTCGCGCCCGATCGGGCGGCAGCTCGCCCGATCGGGCCCGCCTTTTTCCTTGGTCGGTTTGCTTTGCGTGTTTCCTTTTTCCGGGACTCATATAAATACGAGTCTTACCTTTTCATGAGATCATTCACTTTTCTAGCCGAAAACACAAACCTACCTTTTGAGATCTGAACAGTTCTTGAGCAATTCCACTCTTCTAGTTCGGGTGCACGGATTACGGAAAGAGTTGCGTTAAACTTGGGGGGCGTGCGTCACTAGGAAACTTGTACCGGTGGTGGCGTATTTCGCTTCTAAGGCAGTGGATTTTGTTCCACGGCGCGACTATGAGTTTGGGATCTTCAATTCAGGAAAGTTCTAATCTTTTTGTTTGTTATTGATTTCAACAGTTATTTTTCCAATACTTTGGATGAGTACAAAATTAATCATGCACACATATAGAAGCAAAAGAGAGAACCTAAGACACCCTTTGTTATATGCTCCGTAGAGCGTTAACCGAGTTCTTTTAGTTTAAAACAGAAAGCAGTGACATTTTGGCATTAATTCCATATGGTGGCACATAAGATTCCTGTTGTCTATAACAATCGGTCACTTTTATTAACAATCTTATTTTTTTAGGGCGCTACCCCTATTCCTTCGTGTGTTCGCCCCTGCCCACAATAACAATCCATTATTCACTTTGTAGATAGGAATCCTACGGAGTATATAACTTTAGTTCCTCTACATAAGGATTTGTAGGCAAGGTGAGTAAGGGCCTTTTCTGATTTACTGAACTGAAATGAATTGAATTGAAATGAAATATTTATGAGAGGATGAAATTAGGAACTGAACTGAACTGGTTGCAACTGAACTGAACTAAAATTAATCTGAAGAGAACATGCCTTAAGGCAAACTTGAAGAGAGTTTCATAAAGTCTTTCTAAATTCTTAGAGAGTCCTCTAGAGAAAATCCTCACCTTAAGAGAAAGATTGATTTTCGAGTGTCATAAAGTAGAGAAAACAAAACAAAAAAAACTACTCTAGTTATTGTCATGTCTATTTAAACTTTAAGTTTAGAGTGTCGTAATATTTTCAAATTTAGTAAAAATTTCTCCCGAAAGGGAATGTTATGTATTTGAACCTTATATCTCAAATGAGTTATTTGTCTGTTTAAAAGCTTCATCATAAACACAATATAGATTGTTTAATTAGAGACTACGATCAAACGTAAAAAACGAATTAGACCTATGTTGTACCTAATCTAAGGAAAACAAGATTAAGGTTAACTACTTTAATTAAGCCGGAAACTCAAAACACCATAGATTCCATTGTAAACTAATTTCATGTATTGGTCAAAACTCTCTAACTAAATAGTTATTCCATAGCATGGTGGGCTATTAGCCATTAATTAAGAACAAATGATCATCAATCTTGTAAAGCTTTATTTTTAACTACTATTATATTTTGTTGATTTAACTGGTATTCTAAAGATACTTAAGATAGTTATTGGCATAAGCTAATAAGGTATCAAAAGGTTTGTTATAAATACCAACGAAAAACTCAAAAAAAAAAAAAAAAAAAGACAAAGAAAAGTGTCAAGTGTCATCTAGCTAGGAAGACATGTATTAGTGGTTCATAATCCCTCATATGATCGCTCCTTACAGCCTCTGCCTTATGCAGTCGTGCATGCTTTTGTTATGTGTAGGCATGGGTTAATGCCTAGCAATCGTAATTTGGTGGCATTTTCAATAAGTAGGAAAAATCATACTTATGTATTAGTTGTCTGTAGATAACATCATATACATATAACATGACTGCAACCTTCAGAATATAATCAATATATATATAAAACCCGAAAACTCATAAATCTTACTGCAGTAATATACAATACATTTATCATTATAAAGCCAACGATGTTAGTATAATACAAGGTCCTGAACTCCATAAAATGATGAAAATACAAGAGGTATTAACAATCCATGAGAGCACCTTAGTCATCACGAATATGAACTGAAAGCATACTGTTATTCTCTTTACTTGGTAGACCTTCCACAAAAGAAACAAGTTAGTACTACATGGTGGTGTCCCCTTGAGAATGGTAGGTACGCCGTCTCAGATTTGACTCCGGTGTAGGTTGCTGCAGAAAGATCTTTGTAGGATCATTTGGATCAACATACCTGCAGACATATAATTCTAGTTTAGTAAACTACCTTAAGGTCGACTATTATCTCGAAGACTCAAAACATTAAAAAGATACTTACGCATGTCTCATCATTTCATCCACAGGAGTTTGTGCTGCACGTAGAGGATCAATACGAGGCTCAGGGGCAGGTGCAACGTGCTGATTGTAGCGCCTTACGGAATTGATCAAGTTAAAGAACAATGGGACAAAGGTACCACAGCCGCCCTCCTTGAACAAAATCTTGAATGAGTGGGTTGAGTATAAAGCCCTGTTCTCATTTTCAGGTATAACCTGTGCGTTAGAAGTGTCAGAAAACAAGGACTGTTCAAACTCTAAAAAGTGTGATAATTGTGCAAATTTTTGAAAACTCACTGGTTCCACATGTCCGGAAATGTTGTTGCAATGAAATATTGGTTGGTTGAATTTCTCACTATGAACATGCAACTGCAGAAAGGCAAGATAGATCACCACAGTGTTAAGCCATCAAAATACAGAATACAAAATACCCAAAAAACAAAATAGTAATACATATACGTATGTGACTTCCACTTCAGATGAAGCTTTTCATTAAAAATAGTTGAATTCTTCTTCAATTCCAAAATAAATAAATAAATAAAATGCTACACTATTAGCATAAGACAGTTTCTGTTGGCAAGAAAGAAACACTTGGCACCAGAAAATCGCTAGAAACAACTCTAAATCAATAGAGGAAGGTAGGGAAGGACGAAAAAAGGTTTAAAATTGGAATGACAAAGACACAAAATAAAACGATAAACAATTGCTGAGCACATAATAAAAAGTAGTTAATGGATTAGCTTTTTTGGATCAACTAGAAAGGAAAAATACAACACATAACTATGCACTAAGGGAAGGTTCGTATACCAGAGGCATATCAAATGCATAAAAATTCCCAACTGGCTTGCTTGCAACAAATACCATGCGCACATTTGACAAGTAGATAGTCCCCTTAGCTTTCACTTTTCCGCTCCTAGAAACCAGTAAAACACAAGTGAGACAAACAATAGTGCATTGGATAATATTAATCAACTTGAAGACAAGGTAATAATTGCAGAACTAAAAGAGACAGCAATTTTAAAGCTGCAGAACTTCTCCCTAAAGCTATAATCTTTATTTATCAACTAGTTCAGCAAATCCTATTTAAGTAATTCAACTCAACTTCAAAATATAATTCCATCTACATCTTAGTCTTCCTTTTGTGCATGTACAAAGAAGATTTTGGTAAAAAAATGATACTCCCACCATCTAAAAGTAATTGTCACGTTTCTATAACTTTAAAGTTCAAGGATTTAACATGATTTAAAATAAAAAATAAAAAATCTTGTAACAGTTGTGTCTTCCATTCATCACTCATTCCAGACGGAGATGTCATTTATAAAGCAAAAAAGATGCATTAAAATTTTGATAATATTTCTAGCCAAAAGGATACATTTTTTATATAATTGATGAGGTCCTTATATAGCCATATAGTAGCAGTGCAGCACACATGAAAGCCATAACCATACACACCTTAACATTTCCAAAAACAAAATTTAAAGGCATAAATATAAGATCAAATTTAATTTTTAATCTCGTGACGGTACTAGGAAACAACGTATAGCAACTAAATTACACAAACACCTGGTCATGAACCTGCCCACATGCAATATGGAGTGCCTCAATATTTGGCTCTACCAATTATTCGTTGGTGCTGAATGTAATACATATTTACAAATTTCTTAGTCACTTAAACCACTATTAATTAATGGCACATTGTATTACTGCAGCGCATCTTCCAGAATTGTGAAGAAAAAAAAAATTGCTAGTGGAGCTAACACCTCAAGAAACTTGCATGAGGCACATTACAGGATACAACTCATGATCAAGCATCGTGGTTTGGTTACTAGTAGGATTCCAGCAGTCAAAGTATTAACCTAAAATCTTTGTAGTTTGTACAATGCTAACAATGATACAAGACCACAAAGTCTTTGAAGGAAATTTATAACAAACCCCAACACTCTACTATATACTTAGCTAACAATAAGTTCTTGTGAAGGATACATCCTAAAAGGCTAAAACATAAAAGTTTGAATAATGGCACATTCCGATCTACTACTAATAAAAAAAATTGATCATATTAAAAGTGAGTTCATCAAATATTAGCGGTACTTAAAGGACTTAGAAATACATGATATTTTACACTGCTCTTGCAAACAACCACTGCCAAGTTCAAGCTTCACTCGTATGTGCAATTTCTTATTGATCATGACTAAAAGCATTTCTTTCATCTCTTAAAGTCCTACCTCAAAAGAACATTCACATTAACTTTGTTCATATCCAACAAATGTAGGTAAAGAGAATTTTGAAATTCCAAGAGCATATTCACACTACCCTTCATGAATTTTGTTCATAGATGGCAACCGTAGGGAAAGAAAATTTATAAAATCTAATTCACTAACAAATTATATAAACAACCGAGGTAACTACATGTTCAGAATCGTCCCCAAAATCATAGTCGAAAGCTTAAGTGATTTCGACTAACACTTCATCTTATCCCTTATGCTCTCATATACTATCACCTTCATTATTCTTCAAAGATTCTCTCTCTCATTATCTCCCATAAACTTGCTTGTATCAAATTTACAGCGGTTCACTATGTAACACATTAAAGCAAAAGTATAGTTAAATGTTGCTTATGGTATTTTCAAAATACTTGCTTTAATTACTCAATTCTCTTCTTGTCCTCTATAATCCAAATTTGATGCTCCACCCCAATTTTTTTTTTTTTAAAAAAGCAATTTATAAGCTCGAATTTTCTTTAAACAATAACATATCTGCAATTATAAAACCAACCAAAAATCCAATTCAATAACACAAAAAAAAAAAAAAAAAAAAAAAATCGCATAATTTAGAAGAAATTAAGCAAAAATTGAAATAGAAAAAAATAAATGCACAATTCGACACCACAAACACAACAATTCGTATCAATTAACCAATTCCTAATCTTAAAATACACAAATCACCCGTTCAATTAAACAAATTAACCCTTAAATTCAAATTCAAATTCATCAGAATACCAAAAAAAAAAAAAAAAAAAAAAAAAAAAAAAAAAAAAAAAACATTATAAAACAGAAATTAAAGAAGGAGAAGTTCTAACCCAGGGATTTTATCGATCTCAAATTCAACACCATCTCTAGCCAAGACGAACAATTCGGCATAAAAAGGGACAGGCATACCATTAGGAAACAATTGAGGATTTTGAGCCATGTTTAATTTCTCTTCAATTTTTTGGATTAGTATGAAATTCTCTCTTGTTTTCAGATTATGATCTGAAAAATTAACACTCTGGGTGTTTCTTGTAAGGGGTATTCCACCAGCTTCTCGACAGATCAATTTACCTCTTTTTGATTTAGCTTTGTTTTGTGAGATGTATTTATATACTTGCGTGTACGTGTGTGCGCATCATCGAATGTACTAGTACTAGTAGGTGTCAAATCAAAACTAATTTGACTGACCCTAATTTGAAAATTCGATATAATCTCTCCTTGTATGAATACAATAATTTAAGAAGACTCAATTTTAAAATTGACTCGATCTCATCGAACTCGACCTTATCTGAATTGGCATCTCTAGATATTATCCTAATGAAAATAAAGTTTATGTGTTCCTAAAAACGTCTATATGCTACGTATACTCCTCATTTCACCACATCACTTACTCGACTTCTTATTATGTCACGTCATCCACTCGATACCTCAATATGCCACATCATCAACAAAACCAACAATACTCAATGTTGTCTCAACTGTTTTGGGTGTTTTTGTCCCTCGGGAGAGTTACAGCTCTAAGACTGGTCCAGCTTGAATTGTACCTACAAAAACAACGGAGACTCCGAGTGGTAGGATCTTCGCCTCCGAAGACCAAGTTAGAACTTGAATGAAAAGAAAAGATGCGGAAATTTAGGTAGGATCTTCTCGGATTCCGAGATCAAGTGTTCTCTGATGAGAGAGAAAATGGATTTAATAAATGATTGAATGTGTCCCCAAAATGGGGAAATATCTCCCTATTTATTGGGTCACTCTGACCTAGGTTTTGTTGGTTGCGCCGCAATTGCGGCTTTCTCGGGAATTGGGCCATGAAGGGCGTAATTCTTCTGATCCATCTGAGGCTGTCATGTGTCAGCTTGTGAGTGGCCTTAGATGACCTGTCCAGACTTGACACGTGGACCTCTTGGTCCACATGTCTAGGGTATTTTTACCCTAAACACTTGCTCCTCATAAGGGCGACGTGGCGGGCCACGTGACGCCTGTGACACGCGTCCCCCTGTGAGTGGTGAACAGTAATAACGGCTATTAACCTTCTGGGGTATGACGGGGATGCCCCAATTTTACCCCACTATAAATAGGGTTTTACCCCCCTTCTCTCCCCTCATTTACAATCTTTGATAAGTTTTCTAGAAAGAGAAAGTGAGATTTTAGTGAGAGATACTTTTGATCCCGCCTGCATTAGATCTTTCAAGATTTCCGCGTGGTTACTTACTACACCTGGTCACCGTCTGTTGCAGTTTTCAGAAAGTTTAAAGCTAAAGTAAGGTAACCGCCCGTACCCTCTTTTAGCTTTTTTCTTCTTTTTCCTCTGTATACATTCTTGTTCCGTCTGTATACATATTCTAAAAATAAAAATGGACTCTCAATCCACACACTCGGCACTGCCTAGGACATTCAGCCGGTCTCTCGATACGGCTGAATCTAGAACATGGGGTGCCTTTTCTTAACTGTCGCAACTGTTGTGCTCATCCCCGAATTCCTCCCTCTTTGTGTCTGTGTAGGACACAATGGCAAGAGTTAAACAAACGACTATTAAGCCGAGAAGCCGGTGCGCTAGGAAAGTGCCCGCAGACGAGGTTGTTCTGGATGGGGAACAGGAGGAGTCGGAGGGGCAAAGTGGTTTCAATGATGGGGCTCCCTCTTCCCCAAGTAGTTCAAGTGTAAGGGGGGTAGGCGGTGAAGAGGCCGCCTCCTCTCACGAGTCAGGTGAAGAGTCATGCGGTGACGAGGCCGCCATAAGATCGAGGGTAGAGGCATTTGGCTCCGATCAAGACGATTTTGCGGCTGACTACCAGCAGCTGGCTAAAGCTTCAACGTTCCCTGACCCCAAAAAGACTAGGATACTGCTGGGTGATATTGCCTTGTTATAGAGTGGCTTTGAGTCTTTCAAGGAGAAGTACCCCTTTGGAAAGGGGTGGATAATTGAGGTCCTGCCTAGGGATGCGGTAATGGCCAGGGACAATGGAATAGAAAATGCTGACAATTACTTCGTCTGCTACGAGGCGGTTATTTCAGCCGGCCTCCGCTTCCCTCTTCATAAGGGAATTAGAAAAATTCTCAAGGGGGTACGACGTAGGCGTCTGGCAGCTCACCCTAAACTCGTGGGTCAATATTCTGAGCTACATCGCCGCCTACGAGTTTCAGGATTTGGAGCCCAGCTTTTCTGTCTTTTCTCACATGCATTACATGAGCAAAGCCCAAGGCGGTCATGGGGCGTGGTATACTCTTACCACACTTCCCCAATATTTAATGTCTTTGGATAAAGTGTCCAAATGGACCGGCTAGAAGGAGAAATTTATCTGTTCTCCTCCACAAGGTTGAGTCACAACTGGACCTGCGCCGGTATAATAGAGAACCGGTTCTTCTAGGCAGGATGTGTACCCTCCCCCGCCTCTCTCCCAAAGCTTACGAACAAATAATGGAGCCGGGATTTTTTGAGACCACGATTGAGCCCTTAGGGGATGGGACTTACATAGTCGTGCCAAAGAACTGGATCCCTGTAGACACCCATTTGTGTCTCCCCAAAACCAAACCCGGTGATGAGTACCTTTCACGTCGAATCATAATCGAATGAAGTGAAAGTGTGGAAAGTCTAGTGTTGCGGATAATTTTAATTTCTTTTCTTTTCTCTCTGTTTTTGAAAACTTATTTTAAGAAAACAGCCAATCCAGTTTGGTTGGTCCAGGATATGGGTCCAATAATAGTTTAGTTGGATGGGTCTTGCCAAGAGCTTTCCAACGATATATTATAAGCCCAATTCCGATGAATATTGAGGAAATTATGGCCAATTTACTAAACTGGACCCGTTTTGAGCCTTATATGCGGCCCAATGATCTAAGGGAGGGCCTAATATGATTCATCATTCCTAATGCAATTAGGAATGATTTTAGTCTTTTAGATTCTTCTAGAAGGTTCTTTTCATTCCTAATTCAATTAGCATTGATAAATTGACTTTTATTGACTTTTCAGAGTTTTAATCAAAATCAAATAGCATTTTCGAGGAAATTATATGATTTTATCCTCCAGTACGGCAAACTTATCTAATTTTCGAAAACGCGTTAAAAACATGCTTGGCTCCTGACCCAGACATTGGTTCCTGGAACCAGGAACCAGGCCTGGCGCTAGTGTTGGTGCCTAGCGCTAGTTAGTCAGGGTTTACGCCAGTTCTGTTTTTCGTGCGTCAGACTCTGTTTTGATATTTTATCTTTTTGGCTGATTTTCTCTATAAATAACGTATTAAAAACTCTGTTTTCATTCACCAATTCTCATCATTCACGAGTTCTCATCTACAATCAGTTTTAATTAGCATTCGCCTATAATCATTCATTCATCTTTCTTTCTTTCTCTAAACTTTATTTTTACATACAAAATTCCGCATTCGCAAGATCTAGAAACACCTAGCCATATTCGAAGTTGTCTTCGCTCTAGACGTGAAAGGTTTAGTTTTTGAGGGTTTGGTCCCTAATCTCTATTTCAATTATTTAATTTAATTGTTTTGATTATTATTTTCCTTGAAGTTACTAACGTGTGTATTTTGTTATTAGAAAGAGGTACGAGGCATCAAAGTAAGTACTTTAATGGTTTTAATTGATATTATGATGTAGAAATCATGTTTATATTGTTATTATGATATTCCTAGTATCATGTCTAGGGTAATTTTAATATTAAATATGATTGTTGCGATGCTTCCTATGTTCTTCCTAATATTTATGATTGTTAGTATCATGTTAGGGTTAAAGATTTGATTTTTATTGCTTAGTGACATGCTAGGGTTTGTTATTAATCTTGTTAGTATCATGCCTAGGATCTTGCTATTATTATGCTTTAATATTAACATGACCATGATTTTTATTATAATTGTTATAATTTATGATGATTATGAATATTATTATTATTATTCATGTTTATTCTAATGATTGATTATTTATTATGTTGCTTGATATTATTTTTATTGCTTGATCACACCTTTTATTAATGTTTAAAGGGAATTCGTACTTGTAATCATGCTTAATAAGATAATTAATAATCTTGTTAGTGTTAATTTGATTATAATTCAAGTGATCGCCAATAATAGTTTTATTTGTGCGTTATATTCAACCAACATAGATTAAACAGGTTTAGGGTTAATCCTATTGATTGCATGTTAATTAAAAAGCGCACATGAATACGATCAGAATAAAGTAGAGGCCTATTATTAGGGCAGGTTCAATCTCTTTTAGGTTGGATTTGTACCATCATCCCCAAACCCTTATTTGGTTCTAGACCTTATGGAGTTGACGATCTCTTAGATCGTTAAGGGGTGTAGCCTTCATCCTATGAACGGTTTACAAGTTCCTAAAACTTGTTGGCGACTCTTTTGCTCTATCTTCTTCCTATTTGGACGCCACCGTACTTTAGTGTATGATCACAGTGGGGTTCAAGCTAGTGGTTTAACATTTGAAATTATTTCCTACAGTTTTTGGCAACTCCACTGGGGAGGATTTCTATTTTAATTCCTGAATTTGTTTCGGTAATGATTTAGAATGAGTGGATGAGACTCGAAAAGTTCTAAGTATTTCATGTGCGTAATTTTGATTAACATTATTGTCATATGCATAAAAAAGATCTCATTGGAAAGACCATTGATATGTCTATTTTATATAGTGTTTTATCCCCGTCCCTTGGTCGTTATTAGTAGTGTTTTTGGCTCTTTCGGGCCACTTTTATTACTAATTTGTGTGTTCTAGTGTTTTTGTAGTTTTAGTTGTACTTTACAGGAAATTGCACTCTTGGAGTATTTTCCCGGGCTTTATGGATCGACTACGGAAGCTAGAAGGTCACGACCACTTTTGGAGCCCAGGATCGGTGAGAGCCGGTGATTAAGGGCTCGTTAATTGGGATCACGAGGCATTTGGACCAAGTATTCAACACCCGAGAGGAAATCCGGATTGGGCCGAGAAATCTAGCCCAATCAAAGTCCAAGCCTCGAAAAAGAAGACCGGGCCCGATCGGCAAGCATATGCCCGATCGGGCGGATGCGCGCAAAGGCACCCTTAAGGAAGAAGCGCGCCCGATCGGGTGAGCGTAGGCTCGATCGGGCGTGGCATGTCAGCAGTGGGC